TTAATCAAATTTACCTTCAGTACAGTAAAATAGACCGGGGTAGGAAAGCAAGAGCGGTTCTTTTGTTTTCTCGTCTGCTCGGATAATCCAATTATTTTGGCAGCACATAGGGCACTTTGTTTACACAGCGATGACAGATATGATATGACTTTGGCGAACGCAAAACGAAGCCTGAACCACGTTCTTCGTAATACGACACTATCTCGATGACAGACCCGTCCTCGAGAACAGGCCCGTCTGTGCCTCAGTATAACGTACTTTTTGCAATAGCCGGTAAAGTAATCGCAAATAGATCATAGGAACAAATCAAATGGGAAATCGAACGCAAACCCTGCTAGTGAAAACCGTTTTTACTTATAATACTCGACATTCCCTAGTGTACAGATTAYTTAACTGAAACAATGGATAACAAGGCGGTCGTCTATGATGTCATTACATTAGGTTCACATGAAGTTCCATGTTTGACCTGTACCTTAGGAAATTTACTGATGAAAACATTCATTGATGTGCAAAAGGATCACGCGATTAATAATTGAGTTCTAGGTAAAATAACAATAAATGAAAATTAGAACGATTATTTTCGATATCATAGCACGCGCTTATTGTAATAACTATAATTGTATCAAATTACAAGGTCTTCAAAATAAACATAAACTAGATAGAATCAATTATGCGAAAACAATACCTTCCTTTATTTGTGGCAGCACGGCTGCGCAAAGATACACTCGTCTCATCACTCACCAATAAGCCAGTTCATAGTTTAAGAATCGTTTCAATGAGTGCGCAAGCGATTTTATCCCGAATTTCTTTACCTTCTATTGCTTAATTAAGAACCGAGAAGGTTTAGACAAACGAAGGTGAGAAATTCAGGATAAAATCGCATGCGCACTAAAAACAATTCTTAAACTATGAACTGGCTTTAATATGCTGCCCAGGTTCAATCCCAGAATCGGTGTGATATTATGTGAATATATTTTCTTGTTTATTTACAGTTCCATCCCGTACTTTGAGGTTTTTCCTCCGGAGAAATAATTACTTTTTAAAATGATTCCAATTCTATCATAAAACGAGGGTAACAGCTTTGTTAACAACTGGCTATTAAGTGCTGCCATTTGTTTTCATTTCATTTCTTTTCGTAATCCGGCTGTCTTTTCGCTCTTCTCTTTCTTTCCTTTCTAACATTTTCTTTGTTTCTTGGTTTACTTTTTACAGTCAATACTTAATGTCGAAGAAGATGAAGGTTAGCTGTATTGCCGTTATGCTGCTCTTGACACTCTTCGTGTCACAGTCATATTCTACGGCTTCTCCCGAGAAATGTCCTCCTGGGCTTTGGTGCAAAGATTCGCGGGATGTATGTAGAGTTCTTTTAATTTACCCATGAGGGAGCATACTACACAATATTGTCGTGTCTAAAGTCCATTTTTAATGTGTTATTTCGATGAAAACTAATCAACACACCAACACCGTCCCAACTAGTAACCCCTAGTCATTCTTATTCACTTGT